AGGAAATTCCCCAGGCATTGGTGGGCGAGTTGCCCAGCGACGCTCTGCCTCGGGTGGTCGCAACAAGGCAATTCAACCCAGCCTGAACGTCAACGAATTGGCCAGCAATGCCGGACAAGCTCAGGCAAACCCGAGCTTCCAGAGTCATCGAGCTGAAGTATGCTACAACACGACTGGTATGCCGCAGACAGTGGCGGAAGCCTTGGCTCGCCCAGATGCCGCAGCATGGCAGCGCGCTCTGGACGATGAGATTGCTTCGTTTCAGGAACATCAAGTCATGACAGGACTTGACCAGAAGCCCAACGCTGCATTGCTCGATCTGCGAGTGGTATTCGACATCAAGCAAGATGGCCGCTACAAGGCCAGAATCGTTGCCAAAGGTTTCAAGCAGCGTGAAGGCATCAATTACGATGAAACGTATTCGCCGACGGTAAACATGACGACCGTCCGCACATTGATGGCGCTTGCTACTTACCAGCATTACCATGTGCATCAGGTGGATGTCAAGACGGCGTTTTTGCACGCGCCACTTGATGAGGACATCTACATCCGAGTCCCTCGTGGTCTGGAGGCTGGACTCGGTGGCTGTGAGTATGCCAAGCTCAACAAGGCAGTGTATGGCCTGAAGCAGGCATCCCGTGCCTGGTATCTCGAACTTGATAAGTATTTGCGTGACATCATGCAATGTCGTCGACTGCGACAGGATGAGTGCGTCTACGTCTACAAGGAGGACACGGACATTGTATGGGCTTTGGCCTATGTTGATGACATTTTGCTTGTCGGCAGCACAGAGCGCATCATCAACAATTTCAAGCGCAAGCTCAAGGGCAAATTCGAGACCAAGGACTTTGGCCAGATCAAGAACTTTCTCAACATGGAGTTTACCATTACCCAGGACTCGATCACGATCAAGCAGACGGCCTTCATCGAGAGCATCCTGAAGGAGTTCAACATGGACTCGTGCAAGCCAATGACCACACCATGGACAACCGGTGTGAAGCTGGAGCGTGTGACCAAGACTGAGGGCGACTTTCCTTATCGCCAACTGATGGGCAAGCTGAATTATCTTGCAACTCACACACGCCCTGACATTGCTGCAACTGTGAGTCTGCTGAGTGCTCACAACCAGTGTTTTGATGAGACTCATTGGCAGGCAGCCAAGCGCCTGCTGCGCTACCTCAAGGGTACCAAGGAGTATTCGCTTCGAGGATACACAGGAGCTGCAACTTGCAGTCTACACCGATGCAAGCTTTGCTCAAGAGCATGACAAGAAGTCTCGTGAAGGTTGTGCCATTTTTCTGTGCAATGGCCCCATTTACTGGCGTTCGAAGCGCCAGACCACGACTGCGACTTCGACTGCAGAGGCTGAGTACATGGCTGCACACAGTGGTGCTGCCAAGGGTGTTGTGCTGCGTGAACTGATCAACGAGTTGCTCATTTTGCCTGAACTCAAGCCACTTGTCTACTGTGACAACCAGCCTGCTATTGCCAACGTGATCAATGGCAATGCCCAGCGCGGACAACACCACATGCTGATCAAGCTTTATGCTCTGCGCGAGATGTACGAGCGTAACCAGGTTGACATTGTTTATTGTCCGACCGACGACATGACGGCTGATGTTCTGACCAAGCCGTTACCCCGCGATGCTCATGAACGTCATATGCGTAAGTTATGCTTCTCTGCTTGAGGGGGAGTATTAGAGTGCAAGCATCGACCACCTGCCAGAGCCCTCTGGAAGGATTGCATAAATGTACTCGACGATGTGCAGCTGCCGCCGCCCGTCGAGGAACCCTCTCGTACACTCTGGGTGTGTTTAGCCACCAGATTATAAGTACGGTCCCGCTGACCGTGAGTGGCATTTTCTTTTGGATATTTCCCTTTCTGTTTTCTATCGTTCTCTCCTGTGAGAGAAGTGCAATTGAACCGCTTTACTGTCTCAGCTCAAATCGTCTTTCAATAATGATGCCGTACCTGTACGCAATGCCGATGCATCATCCTACAGCATGGCTGGACACCACTGCACCGGGCGTGCATTCACTGTCATGTCGAGGTGGTGGAGATGCTGATGAAGCACGGTGTTGATACTAAAGCCACGGACAGCGTCAGTTCAGTACCTCCTACTCCCTCTTGTACCCCCCCCCCCCCCCCCTATCCTGTACATGATGATGCTGATGATGCTATACCTGTACGTCTTGCCAATGCATCATTCCACAGGATGACAGAACACCCCTGCACTGGGCGTGCATTGAGGGCCATACGGAGGTGATGGAGGTGCTGTTGAAGCACGGTGCTGATACTGAAGCCAAGGACAATGTCAGTACAGAACTTCCGCTCTCCCTTTGCCAACCCAACCTGTACCAATGGTACTGTCCGTACCTGTACGTCATGCCGATGCGTTATCCCACAGGATGGCAGAACACCACTGCACTGGGCGTGCAGAAAAAGCCATGTCGAGGTGATGAGGGTTCTGTTGAAGCACGGTGTTGATACTAACGCCAAGAAAGACGTCAGTACAAGTACAGTATCCCCTCCTCCCTCTCCTCTGGCTACTGCTGCTTCTGCTCCCGCTGCTCGTCTCGTTTGCGCCGTCTCTCCCCACTCGACACTCTACTCCTTGTGCGCGTTCGTTCGGCCTCTTGCTCCTGTCTTCTTTCCCGCTATCCCTCTTTTTTCCCGTTTTTTCCACTCGTCGTCGGCGCTCGCTGCATTTCATCTTGTTTCCGGCTTTATCTTCCGTTCGGGAAGAACTCATTTCTCATGTTGCCAAATGTTGATAATAATAATATAGAACGGCCAAACGCCTCTTCATGTAGCCTGCATTGTCTTGTCTGCCAGCCGAAAGAGTATCCATCAACTCCTGCGGCACGGTGCCGATCCGGATACGAGAGATCATGTAAGCACGATGCCGTATTTTTGAGCTGTTCTGCTGCACCTGTAATTGATATCTGATGCCCCGCTGTGGTAGACGGGCGCACGGCCCTTGGATCTGCTCCTTTGCAGCAGTTCCATCAAGCTGGAGGTGGGCTTTTTATTTTTCGGTACTGATTGCAGAGTCAGGCTTGCTCACCGATGAATCTGCTCCACTTCATAGCTGATAGAAGAGCTATTGCGCGCAACCCGTACTCCTTGCTCCTATCAAACTTCGGATTCCAATGGTGCGAACCTGTAGCCAATGTGATTGTCTATATTGTCTTGTTCTCATCGAATTTCAACGTGGCGCCAGGTCAAGGCTTGATTCATGCGGAGCAGGCCAGACGCTGGCGGTGCGCTGCTGCTGTTCTTTGTAGCGTCGGCTGGCGCGTGGATCCTCAATTGTTCAATATCCAAGATCTACAAACCCTGTGTGGCCGCTTGGCCGCTCTAACGTCCGCCGCTCAAGCTGCACCTACAAATTGATGGGTGACGCTTGTGGTTGGCTTGTCGATCGCTTTGCAATCAGAAAATAAAGTTAATGGTCACGGCGGGTTTTGCCAAACGTATGAAGCAGACCAGCACCGGAAAAAAAGTGGGAAACCGCTTCGTCTTTATTCATTATAGCATCCAAAAGGTGACGATTGCATCTCGGCAGTGTCGGCTGTGGCGCTGCACGAGCTGGTGACGAGGGCATTGAGCGGCGGCCTTATCATGCGAGCGATCAGTCCCGGATGTGCTTGGGCATTGTGGCAATTGATGCAGTAGATGCGTGTCTGGTTGCCAAGATTCTTGGTATCTTTGCAAGTCAGCTTGTGAGATATCTGTGCTGGTACAAACTTGAAAAGCTATACAGCGCTCTCATGCCTCCTTCGCATCGTCACTAAGTTGAATTTAGACGTGACTGGGGTCCTAGATGCGTTGGCTGGCTACAAGTGTGGGTGAAACTGCGTCGTCAGCAGAAGCAAAGGCGCGACCCAGACTGAAGAGCGACGTCCACGCCAAGTCTACCGAACCATCCAGGCCGTGACCAAGCGGTTTCTTGGAACCAGCATCACTGTCAGCGCATGGCGGCACATGAGTGTGGCTTGGCTGCGTACACTGGTGTTGCATCATACGCCCGAGCCTTCATTGGGGGCGTTGAATGTGGCACACTCTCAAAGCCAGCATGCAGGCAGAACGGCACGCAACGTCTATGGCAGCACGCAGCTCGATCACAAGTTTGTGTCCAGTGAAGCACAGTACGGCCATCAGTTTGTGTCTGAAGAATGGCACAAGCTCATGAAGCTGGTAGATGTAGAGGATCAGATCCAAGCCGAGGCCGTGGATGGGCAGACCTGCGTGCAACAAGTGGTTCATAAACAGGTGGTCATCCAGTCGTCTCGGGTCAGGAACGCCAGCACACAGGTGTAAAAGACCGCGGGCTCGCAAACAGATCTCGAGGTTGAAGCCTGCCTTGATGCTGAGGACGACATTGACGATATCATTGCCGGGTTGGATTTAGACGAAGTCGAGGCAGCCGAATCGTCCATGCCAGTTGCCGTGCCGCGAGCCGTGGAAGAGGCTGCGTCGACGGCCTTGCAGCAAGAGCCAAGTCAGCACAATGACCAAACGCAGCAAGAAGAGTATGAGGATCAGCTTTGGCTTGCTCAATGTGTGCGGCAAGCGTGGAAGACAACATTTCGCGACTGGGATCAGTATCGATTGGCACAGGCTGTGACTCGGCACGAAGCACAGGACGGCTGGCTGTTGGCCGTGGCCCCGACTGGCATGGGCAAGACGCTGTGTACACTCGCTCACCTCCAGCCACGCAGGGTCGTGGTGTGGGTAGTCCCGCTTCGTGAGCTTGCCAGAGTCTTGTGCCGCCGCTTCGAGCAGGCTGACATTGTATCGCAGTGGGCTAAGAATGATGGCCGTGACATGCAAGTCAACGTTCAAGTGATTGTCATGACGGTTGACTTTTTGGTTGGCCATGGGATGAGGTGGGTGCAAACACTCGTGCAGCAGAAGCGTCTGGCCATGCTGGTGATGGACGAGGTTCACACAATGCTCGTGGACACCAGCTATCGAGGGAGTCTTGTTCGCTGCCCAAGCCGGCTGGACCATCTTCGCCAAGACCCATCAGTCAAGTGTGTGGGCCTCACTGGCACGCTTTGCCCCAAAG